AATTCGTGAGAAATTGAAGTTTTTTAATTCTGAATTTTTATGGATTATTTGAACTTCATGCTATTTTATGAAATTCTAGCATATTATATTATGATCTTCAATTCGATATGTTAATACATGAAATAAGCATGTTATTATGGATTCAAGCATGATATTATATGGATTTTGATATCAAGTTATCGATTGGATTTATGTATTGACGGGATCAATGAAGGAACACCATAATGTTTTTCTCTGCAAAATTTTAAATATTGTCCACAGCAAAAGTATTAAATTGGTTGACCTCTCTTTTTTGCATGATTAACATTCATGCATGGTGAATTGGAATATAGAAGAGTAATTATGACTTCATGATTTATATAATAATATGATTGTGTTTATTTGGTTTCTAGTTTGTGAGATACTATAATTGCCATCACAAGAAACTTGGCGCTGTAGCGCCCACTTTCGGATGCTGCGGTGCTTCTTCGTTGCTCTATCCAGCAGCGTGGAGACGCTGCTGGGAGGCTTTTGGATGGCAGCCCCGCCACTTGGGTATTGGCGGTGTCGGCGCGCCGCCAAGGATGAAGGAGAGGAGATGAAAGGACATCTCATTAAAGTTTTCAGTTATAGAATAATTAAAATTTCAGTTTTGGAATTTTTGGGGGCGGGGGCTTGGCCTGCAAATTTGAAGTTTTGGGGCCACTGCTTGCAATTAAAAATTAGGGTTAGGGTTGAGTTATTTATTATTCAGCCCTTAAAGTTTAAAGTTTATCTTAATTGGGCCTTAAGGTTATGGGTTTAAATATTTCAGCCCATAAAGTTAAAAATTTATTTAAGTTGGGTCTTAAGGTTATGAGATTATATAAATTCAGTCTATAGAGTTTAATAATTAATTAATTTGGGAGATTTTAGTTCTGCATTTTACTATTAAAGCCTTCTATGTTTCTGATTTTGTTCTAATTGGCCCCAAAAGATTTTAAATTTTACATCCTAAAGTTTAAAATTAATTAATTTAGACCCCTAAAGTTTTGAATAATTATTTTTTGGGTCCTTAAAGTTTTGGATAATTAATTTTTTGACTCCTAAAGTTTTCAACAATTAATTATTGACCCATAAAGTTTTGGATAATTAATTTTTTGGTCCCTAAAGTTCCGAATTATTAACCCTTGGACCCTTAAAGTTTCAAGACAAATAAAATTAAGTATTCTGCTTTTCAAATTTTGGTATAAAAGACTCATTTGAGTATATATAATATTCAAAAGTGAATTGATTGAAGCTATTTGTCAAAGCAACCTCTCTTGTAGAAATTAATTAACTTAGAATATTAGAAGGATTTCGTATGTATGCTAGTTCATGCGGATATTAGCCGGCCCAAAGGAAGGTTCATATTTGGCCGAATTGTATGCACACTTGTGGTGGTAAAGTGTGACAATTATAAGGTTTCCATGTGAATAATAAATCAATCCAAAGATGGATTTATTATTTGACCGGAGTTATTGTCAATGTTTGATCACTACACCAAGAGTACCATTTGCAATTAATATTACTATCCAAAGACTTGATATTAATGTTGTGCTACGTTTCTTGAGATGAGATTTACCATTATTTGGATCTATTAATTGTTCAATACGGATTCCTATGTGAACATATTAATTAAGTATAAGTTCTCTATTCGGTTCATCCATCAACTTCTTAAATATCTGCCTATATCAATTCAATTCATGTGCTAGAACCAAAACTTCAAGGATTGGAAAGAGAACGTATTGACTGTTCTTGGCTGCATCGATTTAGATCTTGCGCTTCAGATTGAGCAACCCACTCATCTTACGGACGAATGTTCATCTGATGAAAAGATGAACTTTGAGAAGTGGGATCACTCAAATCACATGAGTCTAATGATCATTAAGCACGGCATTTCGGAAGCCTTTAGAGGCTTGTATCTGAAGAAGTAACTAATGCTAAGGATTTCCTTGCCGAAATTGAGAAAAGTTTTGCGAAAAACAATAAGGCTGAAATAAGCATGCTTCTGCAACGCTTGATTTCAATAAGGTATAAAGGTAAAGGAAATATAAGGGAGTACATCATGGAGATGTCTCACATTGCTTCTAAACTTAAGGCACTAAAGCTCGTACATTTGGTATTGATACCGCTTCCTGCACAATTCGGTTAATTAAGGTCAGTTATAACTGCTCGAAGGAGAAGTTGACTCTAAATGAGCTCATTTCATACTGTGTGCAAGAAGAAGAATGATGAAGCAAGAAAAGACTGAAAATGTTTATTAGCACTTCTAAGGCAAGTACCTCTAAGGACAAGTAATGAAGAATAAGAAAGCTGCATACGGTTTAGTTCAAAATAAACAGCGAAATAAATTTAGTTGTAACTTTTGTGAAAATCTGAGACATATAAAGAGAGACTGTACTAAATACAACGCTTGTCGTGTAAAGAAAAGTACATTTCTTACTTTGGTTTGTTTTGAGGTAAATTTAGTGTCAATACCTGGACACACTTGGTGGATAAATTTCGGTACCACCACTCACATAAGTGTGTCTGAGCTGCCAAAACCAATTGATGCTGAAAGATTCATCTATTTGGGGCGATGGCAAATCAGTTGAGGTTGAGGCTATAGGGAATTTAAGTTATCATTAAAGACTGATTATTATTTGGATTTGAAAGAGACATTTGCGGTATCGTCGTTTTGGATGGAATTTGGTTTCTATTTCTACATTGGACAAATTTGGTTACTCTTGTTCAATTTGAAATAGTTAATTTGATCTTTTTCTTAATTCAAATATTGTGGGTACCAGTTCTTTATCCGGTTATGATAACCTATATCTGCTTAATACAGTTGCTTCTTATTTGTAATAAGGGAAAACAAACAAACATAAGGAGATTAGGTGCCATAGGACTTCGGACGTCTTGGAACTAATTCATATGGATATCTGTGGACCATTCCCTTCGGCTTCTTAGAATGGTCAACGGTCATTTATTACGTTTATAGACGATTATTCTTACTATGGTTACATATATCTCATTTATGAGGAATCCCAAACACTGGACATGTTCAAGGCATACCCCGTTGAAAATCAATCGAGTAAAAGAATTCAACAAGTCAAATCTTACCACAGTGGTGAATACTGTGACTGATATGACGGATCAGGAGCACAACGTCAAGGGCCTTTTGCTAAATTCATAGAGGAATGTGGAATCATTCTACAGTACATCAGGATCTTTCTAAGTAGAAGCACTAAAGATTGCAGCTTAAATTCTCAAAATAGTTCCAAGTAAAGCAATTTTTAAGGGGTTACAAATTTTTTAAAGATCCCACTATTAAGTCAATTTTCAAACGGGAAATGTTTGATTTCTTGAGGATGTAGAGTTTGTGGGGGGAGATAATGTTATAAGGTTAATGATTTTGTCTTGTATATATTCTTTCTGTTGCAATTGATAATGATTTGGTTCAGGGACAAATTCTTGTTCCAGAGCTTGTTCAAGAAGCAAATTTCGGATCAAGACAATATTACAAAATTCCCCATACACAATTAATAGATTTTTCCAGAAAAACAAATTCAACAACCTTAAGAACAAATGTCAATAAGGAAATCCACTATTCTGAACGACTTTAAAGTCTTTCTCCAAGAAAATAATGATGACATGGATTGATGAAAGAAGAACTGATCAATCAACTTTTATTAAGCCACGCAAAGGAATAATTCTAAAGAGTGGATCGATGTCATGCATAAAGAGATTTTTCTTCGGTTTCTATGAAAACTCTTTTAGGACAATTATGGCATCTGTGACATATTTTGATCTTAAGTTACATTAGATGGTTTACAAATTAAAGAAATCAATATATGGGTTTAAGCTGATTTCCCGAAATGGTATCACAATTTTGTCAAATAATTATCTCATTTGGTTTCGAGATGCATTCAGTTGATGATTATGGATATCACAAGTTCAGTGGGAGTAATCAAATCTTGGTGATATCTCTTTTGTATTAAAGATATAGATACACAAGAATTGTTCTTGGTGTATTTTTGGATTATCACAAAAGAATTGTATCGATAAAGTTCTTAAAAAATTTGAAATACAGATATGGAATTCAGATGATACCCCTATTGTTAAGGGAGACAAGTTTGGTCTCGGCTAATGCCATATGGATAAATTTAAAGAAACAAGTTTGGTCTCGATTAATGCCCTATGGATAAATTTAAAGAAAAGGAAATACATGAAATTCTCTATGCTTTAGCAA